CTCCCACAGTGGCGTAACCGTGTCGTCCCGTGCGAGGAGAAGCAGGGTGTTGTGTTGTAAGTGGGCGCGGAGTTCTCACGATGCGTGTGTGAGTGTGTGTTGACCTGTTGGCCGATGCAGGCAATAAGCGCCCCCCCGGCACGCCCTCGCTACACGCTGCTCGAGTGTCCGTCGGCGTGCCAAGGCCGTGCTGGACGGCGGCGTGGTGTTGGCGGCGTGGTGGCGGCGTGGTGCCGCGGCACCACCATTACCGTTCCGCGCACGTGCCGCCAGCGTGCCGCATCGCCGCGTCTTGGCGCCGAACGGCAACACACCTCGCGCGGCCGCGCCATTAGCAGCAGCAGCAGGCCGTCAGGAACAACAACCTTCGTTCTGATTTAACGACGCACGCGTCCTGGCTGTGTGCCGTGGGCAGGCCGACGGCAACCTGCAGACAGGCCAGCCACGCACTTCTCTCTCGCACCTCTCCGGCACGCCCCATGAATGCGAGAGAGACAGAGCGACGATTTCGTTTTTTTTGGAATCCAAGCACCCCGAGAAGCAGGGAGCGGCCTGGACGCGCGGCCTGGAAGCACTGGAGGCGCGGCCCTTTGCGCCTATCTCTCAACGAGTTTGGGAAAGAACTGCCGTCGCCGTGCATCTTCCGCTATAATTACCTCGGCGTTCCGTTCGCACTGTAAATCTAGAGGCCGTTCAATTAACGACGGGGCGCCGTTTGCAAAGCATCGCAAAGCGTCGCGAAGCATTGCGAAGCATCAGCGATTACGACAAGGCGGTGCTATCGGGGAAGGGAGGAAATAGGCGCTGAAATGGGCCGCCACACAGTGGGCCAGAAGGCCGATGGAGGCGGTCAAAATCCCGGACACGTTTTGAGCTTCAGAGTCGCTTAATGGGACTCGAACTGAACGGGTGATCCTACCAATGGATTCCTCGTTCGGAGAGCAATCCATTGGTGGGGTCACACGCTTGGTTCCCGTCCCGAGTCGAACAGGTTTGCCGACCTCAGCTCGCCTGCCTGGCAACCCCCTGGGCTTTGCTCTCTTGCAGTCTTGTCGTCGGAGGCTGAGGTTGGCAACCCTTTCGACAATGGTGCGCACCGAGGTAATTTCAGCCTTCTTGCGTTGGCAACACCGCCTCCGCAAATGGCTCTCCACTACACTGTGGGTTCCTCGCTGGTCCGGTGCTGCCAGGCGCTGCCGAGGCTCTGCCAGGCTCTGCCTGCCGCGGTCGCCGCTCGCCGCCACCTCACTGGAATGCCTCGGCGCGGCGGCAGCGCAGCGGCAGCGCGACTTTGTGCCCCACACCGGAATCCCAACAACCCCCGCAAGAACTCGGCCCTTGTTTTTACCCCGAGACCCTACCCGCCGCTTTAAATAAGCGCCGCGCGCTCCGGGCGTGGCGTGGCATGGCATGGCGTGGCGGGGCGGGGCGGGGCGCGGCGTGGCGTGGCGTGGCGGGGCGGGGCAGGGCGGGGCGCGGCGGGGCCGGGCGGGGCGGGGCGGGGCGGGGTGGGGCGGGGCGGAGCGGGGCGGGAAGCGCCGTACCGCGCAGCACAGCGCGCGGAGGTGGGCAATAAATATGCCTTGTTCGCCTTGTTACCGCCCCTGACGGCGACGCAGCCAGCAGCGCGGCGGGCCGCGACGCCCCGCGACGCCCTTGCCGCCTCGCTATACCAGCCGAGCGAGTCGTTTCGTCGCTCTGTCTCCCTCCCTCTCGCACCCGAGAGGACGAAACGACTCAGCGGCATCGGCCAGCGAGACCCGCAGGGCGCGCTGGGTCACCGCGTCGCAGGGACAGGCCCGGGAGCGACCAGGACACTGCAGTGGCGCCAGCAGTGCCACAGTGCCACAGTGCCACAGTGCCAGCAGGGACTCGGAGATAAGAAGTCTTCATTAGGCGCCGCACGCGAGCGAGGGACTGACTCCGCCCGGGCCGTGGCCGTGCCGTGGCCGTGGCCCTGGCCAGCAGTCACCCGGCCACTTCTATTTCTTCGCCCGCCCCGCCCCTCCCCGCCCCGCCCTGCCGACCCAAACCACTCAGGACGACCGAAAGAGAAAAACACTCGTTTCATTTTGCATTGGAACGGGCACTAAAAAGCCTTATACCCGTCGTTGAGTTGTTGAGCTGGCGTCCGGACTGCGAGCGGCGACATCTTTCCTCCAGCAAAACCGGGTTTCGGGGCACCATCGATGATTTTCCCTCCCATCGTCGTGAGAAAGAATAGAAAGTGTTTATTTTTAACCGTTTCGTAATAATAAGAGGGCGTCAAACGGCTTTGCCGCGACGCGCTGCGCCGCCGCCACCGCCTTCACCGCGACCACGTCTCGAGTCGCGGCGTCGCGGCCGGAATCTCCTCCACCGCCGCCTCGTTCCTCGGTCGCCTGCAATTTCGGCGATAGCGCCGCCGCCACCGCGGACCGCACGCTGCGCCGCGCAGGGCGGCGCCGAACCGCAACGGCTGGGGCGAGGGGCCATGGGGGCGTCGTCGGCGCCTCGGCCGCACGCGCACGAGGCCAGCCGAGGCCAGCCCGGCTAGCAGCCTCAGCCAAGCTTTGCCACCACCACCGGGACCCCGCTAGGATGACGGCGGTCTGCTCCGCGACGAGTTGACCGGCCTGGACGGCACGGCACGTGGCTCTCTCCTTGTTGGCGGCAAAGAGGAAGACTATGCCTTCCGGCCGGGCCTAAAGCTGGCCGAGTCCGAGCCTACGAACAGTGGAGCGGCATGCAAACATGGGAAGGGTGGAGCCTGGCGGAACAGCGAGGAGTCTATAGACACCTGATTCCACACACTGCTTCATCGCGAACCTCCAGGCTGCATGAGTGCGAGGGCGACGGAGCGACGGGAGCGCTGTTCAGCCTGTCGGCGGGTCTTGGCCGTCAAAGCCGCTCGCCGTCACCCCGAACGTGGTCTTGCTCCCCGGACGCAGCCCCCCTCCGCCCCCCTCCCCCTGCGGCCCCGCGCCCTGACCGCAGACATCCCCATCGCCTCCATCGACGTCTTCCTCCGCGCGGTCGCGGCGGTCGCGGCAAGCCAAGCGAAACACCAAAGGCCGTCGGCCCCCTCCCCTCATTTGGCGCACCGGTGCGTCGCTTCGTTCCGTTCGCCTGGAAACGACGATGCTTCAAAACCCGTCGCTGCACCGAAAGTTTGGCCGGGAAAAGGCGGTGCGAGCTGCGAGCGATCTCTCTTGATAATGAGCGGACGAGGAAAAGGCGAAGGCACGAGGAGAAAACGGGCTCTCGTCCTAATTACACCAAACAAACAGGATAACTTTGCGGCCGCGGGCGCCACTGTCGCCAGCCTGGCCTGGGGTGGCCTGGGGTGGTACAGCTGGCACAAGCTGGCGGCACAGCGCGGTGAGCGGGTTTTGTTCCCGCCAAAACGGGCAATAAGCCCAACAAGCGCACGATTGTGTACACGTCGGGCAGGCCCAGCCCGGCCAGCCGCGGCCAGACCCGCGAGTATGGTAAGCAATGGTAAGCCCGCGACCGCGCCCACCCCGCCCCCCCGCCCCGCCCCCCCGCCCCGCCCCGCCCCGCCCCGCCACGGCGGCGTCCTGCGCCCCGCGGCCTCCGGCACATTCCTGCGAGTCCCTCACGGGGAGTGAAGGATGCGCCGAGGAGCGGCGGGAGAGACTTTTGAGAGACTTTTTGAAGAAACCGCACACACTCCGCAAGATGAAAGTTCCTCTTTTTAACGGTGTGGGACACGTGCCTTGGCACGGGGAAACAATGGCCCGCGGCCCCGCGGCGGCAAGGAAAGGCGGGAAAAGAGGCGGAAGGAAAATGATGCGTCGTCGCCTCTCTCTCTCTCCTGCCGCCGAAATGACAACTGGTAATCCCCAAACGAGCCGCGCTTCAGTGCCCCCCCCCCCCCCCCGTGTCGCGCTCCTCACGCTCCGCGCTGCCGCCTGCCCTTCTTGCTCCTCGGAAGAATTTTCAGCGCTCAGCGGAAAATGGGATGCCAGAACGAAATGAAGTGAGAAATCCGTGGCTCTTGGATGGCTGGCTGGTTCGTTGCTTTCCGAGGGGGGGTCGCCGCACTAGGAAGGGGTGGGCCCGCCCGGGTGGCGATGGCGGTGCAATAGGGTGGCCTCGCGGTCGCGGGGTGGTCCCCATGGCCTAGACAACTAACAATTTTTAAATGGAAAATTTTCGTATGTATGAGAAATGGAATCACCGAGGGAACCTCATTGCCAGGATCGATTTCGTATTTCGTATGGCCTAAGTCTGGAGTCCGGCTAACTCGAGGATTCCCCCATGGCCCCGTAGCCCCGTAGCCCCGTAGCCCTGTGGCCCTGTGGCCCCTCGGTGAACCCGTGGCCCGGGCTGGAAGGGCCAGGGCCGCACTGCCGCACACAGCGAAAAGACCCTCACCATGTGAGGTTGGCGCGACCCCTCGCACTCGCTCTCTCTCTCTCTCTCTTTTTTCTCCCTCGCCGTTCGGTCGGTCGGGCGGTCGGTCTGCCGGTCGCTTCCGCTATCAGAGAGGAGAGAGTTTATCTTTGATGTCGGGAGGTCGGCCTGCAGGAGCGTGCCTTTCCGTTCCGCGTCGTGTTCCTGGAAGCACGGTGCCCCGGCCCGGCCCGGTCTGCCCCACCCCGCCAGCCCCGCCGGGGTGCATACCGGAGGGGGAGCCTTCACTCACGAGGCAGAGGCGGGGCGAGGCGAGGCGCCCCGATGCACTTCTTCCGGCAGAGGACAGGACGCAAACTGCTCGCAACGAGAATTCCAGCAGAGTCAGGAAAAGTGTGATTTTCGTTCTTTTTCAAATGGTGTTTTGAGTGTGTGATGTGTTCTGTTGCAGGCCCGGCCATGCCGCCCGTGCGACGCCCGGGGCGGCGGTCGCCGCTCAGCGGATCGGTGCTGCTGGCGCTGCGGGACGGACTCCACGGCCTCGGCCCGGCCCGCGCGGCCCGCGCCGAGCAGGCAGCGCGAGGCAGGCGGTCGCGACGGCCCCCGCGTGAGGCGTGAGGCGAGGCATGGGCTAGGGCTGGGTCAGGGTTGGGCAGGGCCAGGGCGTGCATGGGCTGGGCGAAGGCTGGGCCGCCATGGACAGCATCGCCAACACCACCGAGTCCGGACTCAACGTCACCGACTTCAACCGCTCTTCCAGCATCTTCTCCATTGGTCCGGGCTTCCTCAGCCAATGGTAAGTCGCAAGGCCTAGGCGCCAGGGACTGCGCCGCACTCAATCGACCACCGCTAGCGCTTGCTGTTCGGTCCCGCTTTCGAGCGGGTAGAAAGAAACTAAGTCGAACCCCTTATTTGAACTGCGAGGTCCACTTTGCGTGCGCAGAGTGCGGAGCCGAAACCAACATCGGGAAACGTGCTGAACGATTGTTCGGTCTTCTCCATCCCGTTCGTAGAAGCCGCTTCTCACAGTGTTGTTGGCACCAAGCGGCGCCGTGCCGCCGTGCCGCCGTGTCAGCTGGCGCGGCACCAACACAAATAAGGCATTGATTCGCTCGGACGCGTCATGTTTGGCCAGGCCCGCCAGGCCCGCCAGGCCGGCCGGCACTGCATGCAGTCCAATGCCCATGCCGCGTGCGGGGCAGTGCGGGGCAGTGCGGGGCAGTGCGGGGCAGTGCGGGGCAGTGCGGGGCAGTGCGGGGCAGTGCGGGGCAGTGCGGGGCAGTGCGGGGCAGTGCGGGGCAGTGCGGGGCAGTGCGGGGCAGTGAGGGGCAGTGCGCGGCGGGGCACCGCCAGTCTTTCGCAACAAGCACCCCTCCCCGTCACAGAAAGAAACTAGAGCGGACACGGGGTGGGGCGGGGCGGGGCGGGGGTGGGGCGGGGCGGGGCGGGGTGCCAATTGGCGGCGAGCTCGGCGACGTCCCACAGAAACAGACAAAGAGCGTTGAGGATAATCACTGAGTCATATTGTTACTTTTATCCCGGGCGCGTTAATCGCCATTGTGGCGACTGCGGTCGCGGCGGTCGACGGCGCGGTGCGGCCCGCGGCCTCGGAACTTTCTCTCCGCCGCCGACTTGGCCGTCTTGGCCTCCACGGCACGGCACACACCACCGCATTGTCCGCGAGCGGCGCGCGACTTCTCTTATTTTACTCAATTTTGCTTGGTTTTTATTTCGTGCATTTTCCACCGCCACCGCGCGTTTCCGGCGTTCCTCGTGCGGTGCGTTCTGTCCGCGGACACCCCCGAGGGTTCCGCAGCCAGTGCCGTGCCGCGCCGTGCCGCGCCGGCAAAATAGATTATCCGTGTTGGTCGCGCCGCACTCCGCCTGCCCCGCCAGCCCCGCCAGCCCCGCCACGTCCAAATCCAAACACGGCCGGGGCTCTGTACGTGCCGCCCCGTCAATCAAATGCCCCCTTCCCCTTCCCCCTCCCTTCGCCCAACACACACACACACACACACACACACACACACACACACACACACGCACACAAACACACACACGCGCACGCACACGCACACGTGCCCGTGGGCCCCCGCTACAGCATGCCGTCCCCCAGGTGACACAAGCAGTGGAGCTCGCACGCCGCGGTCGGCGCCACCAGTCACAAATAAGAGCGTTCCCATTCCTGATTTGTTTTTCAAACGCTTGCGCGGCGACATTCACCGCCACGGTTCGCGCAATTCGAACTGCGGCTCTCTTACAAGACGCCTCCACTCTGCAGACACCGTTAGTCCACTTGAGCAAAATCAACTAAGACGGACCACTTCTTCCGGTGACCCTCTCCGATTTGCCTGATTTTTTGTAGGCTTAAGAACTAACTAAAGGAGAGTCCAAAGCCAAAATATTAGGTCCGGCAAAAATTTATTGACCGAGATATGGCCAACTTAAGTTTAACTTTTGGAGGAAAAACACAAATTTGGGTATTTTGGACTAATTTTACACTTTTCATAGTAGAGGGCTAAAATTTGGTCACCTTATGTAAAATTGACCAAGGAACAAGAATATGACCTCAGATTTGACCTCCGACGAATATCTGCAGAGTAAACCCCCCAAAACACCTTAAAAACACCTAAAAAAACAGTTTTTCTTGGGGTTTCTGGGAAAATATGTGGACAAAAACTTCTGATGTTTTATCTTGTAGAAAATGACGCGATAATCGAATGAGACCACGCGCAGATTTTTATGTCAAACCGTTTAGGAGATATAGCAGATCAAAGTATGAAAATTTTTGCCTTTTATTTTTTAAAAAAATGGGGTTTTTGAGCATAGTTTGACGTTATCTGCCTTCTTGGTGGTGGGGGTGATCCTATCTTGTAGAAAAAGACGCGCTGAATCGATTGAGACCACGCACAGAGTTGTATCTCAAACCGTTTAGGAGATATAGCGGTTCAAAGTATGGGCACGGGAGAGCTCCTGTAAACCCCCAAAAGGCAGGCCCCCCAAAACACGCCTGTTGGGCGGGCGGACTACCGTGCCCATACTTTAACCGCTATATCTCCTAAACGGTTTGAGATACAACTCTGTGCGTGGTCTAAATCGATTCAGCGCGTCTTTTTCTACAAGATAGGATCACCCACACACACCAAGAAGGCAGATAACGTCAAACTATGCTCAAAAACCCCCATTTTTTAAAAAATAAATGGCAAAATTTGCATACTTTTATCGCTATATCTCCTAAACGGTTTGACATAAAAAACTGCGCGTGGTCTCATTCGATTAAACGCGTCATTTTCTACAAGATAAGATCATCAGAAATTTTGTCCACATATTTTTCCCAGAAACCCCAAGAAAAAACTGTTTTTTTAGGTGTTTTTAAGGTGTTTTGGGGGGTTTACTCTGCAGTATTCGTCGGAGGTCAAATCTGAGGTCATATTCTTGTTTCCCTTTGGGCAATTTTAAAAAGGTGACCAAATTTTAGCCCTCTACTATGAAAAGTGTAAAATTTGTCCAAAATACCCAATTTGTGTTTTTCCTCCAAAAATTAAACTTAAGTTGGCCATATCTCGGTCAATAAATTTTTGCCGGACCTAATATTTTGGCTTTGGACTCTCCTTTAGTTTGTTCTTAAGCCTACAAAAAATCAGGCAAATCGGAGAGGGTCACCGGAAGAAGTGGTCCGTCTTAGTTGATTTTGCTCCTTGTAACCCTGTGCCCTTCCCTGCCCCCCACCCCTTGGCCTTCGACAGCGCCCCTCCCCCTGCCTCCGTCACCTTGGAAATTACAGTGATTTTCCAAACGTAAACACGGAAGCTGCCGTGACCCGGAGGAGGGTGGTGACGGCGTCGGCCACGTGCTGTGCGTGGGGGGGGGGGGGGGGGGAATGCGGCGTGACGCGGCGTGGCGGGCTGTGGCGTTACGTCACACATCGAGCCACGCTCACCGCGGACGACTGTGCTTGCACTCGGCGAGAGAGAGAGAGAGAGAGAGAGAGAGAGAGAGAGAGAGAGAGAGAGAGAGAGGCGAAACTATTCTCTTTTCGGAATCAACCCGCAGACCATCATCACTCACTCACACACCTTGTCCGCCCGCCCGCGGCCGCCAGGAGCATGAAAGGGTGTGGGTCACGCCCACGCCTGGCTTCGGGCATCCCTGCCTTGCGCACAGCCCGTCGTCACGCTGTCACTCTCACACCCATGAGTGGGAGCGAGAGAGAGCGCCGTTCGGCCTGCAGCGTACGGACGGCCTTGACACGCCAAGCGCCCGGGGCGGCGGGGCGGCGGGGCGGCGCGTGAACCTGTCGCCAGGGCGTGTCGAACATTCGCCGCCCCGAAATGTGGCTTTCCAGCAGCGCGGCGCAGCCACCACCTCACGAAAGTGGAGCGCTCCGCTCCCACACCGGAATCAAGCGGCCGGTGGGAACACACGCACGCACCCGGTCTCGCTCGCTCACAGAAACCAAACGGCCGCTCTGTCATGCATGGACCCTCTCGCTCGCAGACGCCCGCGCAGGCTGCCCGCGTGCGCACCGCCAGGCTGTTCAATCCCGAATCTACTCCGAAAAGGAAATGGTCAGAAATGAGAAGTCCGATCGGCGTGCAGGTCCTCGGGCAGCCCAACCGGCCGACGGCCCAATGCATGCCGTGACTCCGGGCGAGGCGCGTGTCGCGTGCGACAGCGTGCGACAGAGACGGAGCGAGAGGCGCGCGCGCCGGCGTGCGCGTGCGACAGGGACGGAGCGAGTGGCGTGGCGTGCGCCGCGGGCGGCGTGCGATCTGGATCTCAAATGACTGCCTGACGGCCGCACAAGCGCTGCCGCACAAGCGCTGCCGAGCGCTGCCGCACGCTGCTGACCCATTGAAGGCTGAATGCGAATCCGCACGGCACTGATAAGTACGGCAGTCGACTGATTCCGAGGGCCGCCTTCGTCGCTCTGTCGCTCTCGCACTCGTGGGGCGTCTCGTTTAGGTGCGAGAGCGACAGAGCGACGAAGGGCACGAGCCCAGTGGAGCGGAGGCAGGGACGGAATCGACGTTCATTCGGGGTGCCGTTGAAGCCTCAATCAGGGACTTGAAGAGCTTTTGCAGCATTTGATGACGTGTTGACCGCATCAGACAAATTCAAAGAACGTGGCAACACGAAGTGGAGATCGGGCGAGAGGAACAGCTTGCAGGGTAACCGAGGGTAACTAACTGAACTAGGTCCAACGCGGTTGTGGGCGGTCGAACGGTTCGTGGACGACATCTCCAGGATGCGGGGCGACGCCAAGCCAAAGGCTGCTCGACGTGGTGGAGGCGGACCAGACAGGCCCTCGACGGGGCGGCTCGGGCAGAGCGGGGATGAGGATGGAGATGAGGGAGGCGAGGCTGAAACTGCTGCTGCTTGGTTCGTGGTGTTGGACTTACCACCAAGAGCAGGGTGGCGGGGCTGTGCGTGCTCCTGTAACCCCGAAACCCCGCCCCAGCCGGCCCCGCCCTGCCGGCGCGCCAAGCCCCGCGAAGCACCCCGCCACGCTGGATGGCAATGTACACACCGCCACGGGGGAATCGATGTGGTATAACGACGTGGCCCCGTTGTCGCCACCGGGGCCGGCGGGGGCCGGGGCCTTGACGCCGAGGGTCTCGGCCGCCTTGACGAGGCCGGGCTCGCCGGGCCGCGCGACGGCGGCGTCAAGAGCGGCGGTCGAATCCGAAGAGGAAAGTGGAAAACGGCATCAGTCGGCATCGATTGCAGGGGACGCGAGGCTCGCCGTCCACGTCGTGCAGGTCGCCGTCGACAAGGGAAGCGCTTCCGAGCCTG